GAGGGCAGCGTCACTGGCCCTCGTATGTGGGATCCGAACCGGGGCCCTCTGGCATCCCAAGCGAGTTCTTAACCATCGCGCCACTCGGCCGGCCTTGTCCTATATATTTTTGTGATAACTTGTATGGCAGCGAAAACAGTGATGTTAATAGATTTATTGAGTGTGTCCTACGTGCTAAGCGTTGGGTGAAGAGCTTGAGAGTAGATAACTGCTGTCATCCAGTTACACAGAATGTACATGATCTAAGAAAGCTTAGCGAGGTCAGCATGTGAAAGAATTCAGTCATCTAACCCCTGTTGGGGATCAACGATAGCTATAGTTTTATCAGAACCAGATGCTTGTTGGCTCTAAGTAATGTTGCCTCCATATTTAAAGTTCTAAAAAAAGCTTTTGGTTTTACATTGTTGATTAGCTATGATTGCCACACTAGGAAAATACCACTTATTAAAAGAGAGGAGGTTTTAATAGAATAAAAAAAAAACAAAAAACAACAACTCAGATTTTCCAAAGTTTGGAGCATTACTTTAACAATCATGTTGATAAATATTTTTAAATAAATATTTTCAATTTACGGTCTACTGTTTAGCCCTCAGGGACAGGGTAGTGTAATATATATTTTTAAAAAAACACATTGAAAGTAACATTTCTCATAAAAGCCTGTGTAACCAACATGAATATCTGAATATATTTCCTGAATCTCTGGCATTTTCAGTTGTATACAATATAACTTGCTATTTCAGTAGAAAATGGAGCTTGTTGGCCGATAGATTCCCAAGGATTTCAGTGTTTGGGGTATGTCTACATCAATAATTGGAAGAAAATAAATCCTGCATCTCTGACTGAAGGGGCAAATAAATGTGTATGTATAGCCAATTCTCAGCGTACCACCTTTAATGGAGAGGAACAGTTGCATGGGTAATCACAAGTTTTCCTTTCACAGTCACTTATTTTCTTGTTTACTTTTGGTTTGGTTTTCTGGAGGGCACAGCAACTTGTGATGGATTTGGAAGTGGCTCGATATGTATTTGTGAAAGAGGAAAATGTCTGTAATTTAAAATACGTTGCAAATATTGGCAAAGGTTAGAATTAATACATAGGGGGTTTATTACATTTCCATTGTAGATTCAAGTTCATTTGCCTATCATTAAAACTACAGATGTCCAGGGCTAAGCAGACAGTTAACCCTTGAGTCTGTGTTGACAGCCCTTCTATCTCACTTCCCTCACTATTCCCATCTTTTTTATTTTTTAAAGGTGAAATTGGTGTAGGATTAAGATCAAAGGCATTTGAAGGGGGAAATTTAGCATTTGAATTTGAAATTGAAAGGGAGGACGGTGACTTTAACCTTTTCAATTTACAGATAAAGGAAACTGAGTTTCTGAGAGCTGATGGGAAAAGCCCCATCAAGGGCCAGCTATTAACAGGCACCTCTGATACAGGTAGATAGTGCTTACTTAGCCAGAATGTTTAATGATTTTTTTCATCTTTTTTGAGGTACAATTGACAAATAATATTGTAAACTGTTGAAAGTGTACAACATGATGATTCAATGTATCATATACATTGTGAAAGGGTTCCCCTGACTTTTATGATGTTCAAAAATGAACATTAAACCTCAGCCTTTTTTTTTTTTTGCCTTTTGTTTTTCAACACACTACTTGGAAAGTGTGTGTCTTAGCAAAAGGAGTGGAAAGCAAAGCCTACTCATATCCAGTGCACTGTTTTTTTCCACTCTACGAGGTTTGAGGCAGCCTGACACGTGCCCAGATAGGAAAAAAAGAGAGAGAGGCCCAATCTTCGCCTCAATGACAATGAAGATTTTATGGGGTAATTTTTAAACCTGAACCACTTCTTTTTAAAGCAGTAGTTGCTCCCTGAGAAGTTCCATGTCTTTCTCAGCTGTGTGTACCCCTATTCAACCCAAGAAAGGACACCCCTAATTCCTCTGTTCTTAGGAAGCCTCTGGCAGATCCCCTCAATAAACAAAATGCTCCTGTTTAGGTTATGATCCATATGGTTTTCTACTGATAGGCCATTTGAGTGTTGGCCATTCACTTATAACATTAGTGCACTGTGCTTGCTGAGGCCACAGTTTTACATTTGAGCCCCTTCTCCCCGCCCCATGTATCCTTCAGCATCCCAATTTTTAAAAGTCTGGTTCCCACAACCAGCTACTCCTCTCATCTGCATGAATGGCTGTCTTGAAAAGGAACGTTCTTGGCCCCAAGTTCAGTTAATGAAACAGAATAAAAGGCTCAGGAAAAGGAGCATCATCGCCAAAAAAAAAGTCCCAATATGTAATACCACTAGTAAAAAGTGTCATATTTGTAAAGTGCAGACATGACTATTCTTTTATCCAAAAGCTATATCTTTCTTAGAAGCTGACCAACTAGGTTGGTACATGTGTGAACCATCCTTTATTGTTTTAACTACAAAAAGTGTACCCCCTAACCCATGTGCAAAGTATTGGTGTTAGACATAATACCTGGTAGAAATAAAGAGTGTAAAAGAAGTCACTTAAATATATCTAAAAATAACCCAAAAATTATTATAGTGATAAATAGTCAAATTATATTTCTGGCTTCTAGTATGACATTGGCACTGGCATGTATACCAGTTACTATTCAATTAGAAATTTTATTTTGATTGTAGCTTATATGTATTTTTAACAAGGAGTGTTAAACTGTTGCCTTACATTTAACAGGCTACTTGGAGAATGTATAGGCATTGTCACAATATACTTAAGCCTCAGATTTTGTCTTTTATTTCATTGTATTTCTGAAAGAATCCTGAATTAGTCTTAATAATTTACTTCTCCCCATCACAATGTACAATGCATCATTATGCATTAATTATTATTATTTTTTTTAAGTTGGAAAGATCTATGTTTGGCCATAAGGTGATTTCATAGGAAAAATTTCAAATTATGTGCGCGAGTTGTAGTGGTCAGACGGAGACCCAAAGATCATTTCCTTTTTGTCGCAGGGTTCATTTGCACTGGCCATTTCAATTCTGATTAGATAAGGGGAGGGGTAGCACTTCCTTCTCCTTTCAGGATGTAGAAGCACCCAGTGTTTTCTCAGCATTTAAACGGCGTGGATAGCGTGGAAAGGCAACTGTGTTACCAAGAATAGTGTTATTTTTACTTATTTTCCTATCCACATAGGCCCTGTCTGTAAGGTTTACTGTATATTCTGAAGACAAGGGTGGGCAGATTGGAGGAGAAAGAAATCTCTGGCACATAATTCTTTTATATTTTTCTGCGACGCAGCGGTATACTTGTGACAGCGTATGTTATACCTGCGTTTTCTTTAGAGCCTATTTGAAACCATTGAGGCGGATGCAAAGAAAGCGGTATCCCTACAAGCTGTGTGTCACCCAGACTGGCGGTAATCACTACAGCTACGGAAGTCACTGGTTTGTGGAGATAAGACATAGAAGATGTGTCAGAAATGACTGGCTAATATAAAAGTTTAAGTAGCAGCACCAGAGAATGAATTCTTTTTAACATTTACTTATTTATAAATTTCCTTCACCTCCTTCTTTTTTGGCAGCCGTCAGATTGTTCTCTGTATCTATGGGTTTGCTTATGTTTTGTTTATTCATTTGTCTTGTTTTTTTGATGACACATACAAGTGAAATCATGTGGTATTTGTCTTTTCTCTGACTTATTTCACTTAGCATAATACCCTCTAGGTCCAACCATGTTGTTGCAAATGGCGGGATTTCATTCTTTTTTATGGCCGAGTAATATTCCATTGTATGTTTGGACTGCATCGTCTTTCTCCACTTATCTATCGATGGACAGAATAAATAAATCATAAATAATGTAGTAAATAAGTACATGAGAGAGATTTTCTTACAGAAAAGTAGCGACCCACTCATTTGCATTCTGACGTGTTTCCTAGGGAGGGAAGAAAGACATGAAGTTTGAACTGATTTGCTGAGAAGTGTTTTTGGAATGCGAGGGTATCAAAGTACAGAAGAGGCCAGCTGCCTCTGGTATAGACTGTGGAGTGCCCTTGAATAGCAGGAGAAATTGGGACAGACAGCAAAGCCTAGTGGTGGTAATAGCATCAGTTTGCCTTTAGAGTCCCAGCCTGCCCTAGGTGTTTATTCCTTCCTTCTTCCCCCGTGTCACAGTCTTACTGTCAATTACGGATGATTGTGGTGTTAACTGTTAAGGATGTTATGCGATAAGAATGAAGTCTCTGGATTCAGACTTCCTGGGTTCAGATACTGGCTCTGCCTCTTAGGCAGCTGACTTAATTTCTTAGATTCTTCATCTGTAAAACAGGGATAATATTGGGATTTACCTTTATGGGGATATTGAGAGGATCAAATGAGTTAATGACGTGAAGAGCTTAGAACAACACAATCAGGCACACAGTAAACACTCAGTATGTGTTAGCTATTTAATTAAAAAAATTTTCATCCTCTCTTTATAACTCCTTTGTAGGGAGAACAGAGACTGACCTGTGGATGCATGAATGATGACTTGCTTGATATCTTTAGAATTGTCGATTAGTAATGTAAGTGCGTCTTTGTTTATGGGTTTGCTGCCACGATAAGGCCATGCAGTCGTAGCACGATTACATTAAATCCACACGTGATCCTCCCCACCTCATTTCAAACATGATCTTTCGTCTTCTTTCCTCATAAACCATTTTCTTTCCTGGGACTCACGGAAAGGATTATGTTTTACATCGTGAAAAAGTGCACACAGCACACACATGTAAACGAAACAACAATTTTATGAAAGAATAGACAAAGTGTGATGACCTCTAATTTTCTGTTTTATTCCATTCTGTTTCATTTTTGTAAAAATGCTGCTTGCAGTGCGTTAAATGTATTTTACAGCCCCTTGATGGATGGCCCTGTAGTTTGAAAAACACTACATGAGATCAATTTGACCCTTGTCCAAAAGCCAAGGAGGATACCATGGGTTATATAACCAATATTCCTTTCCTTTTTATTCTTTTTCCTAACTTCCCCTGATAATAGAACTGGAGGAATTCACCAGCTTTAAACACACACACACAAACACACACACACATTTAAATGCCACTAACCTGTTTAGTAAACCCAAAGTTTGTGTTGTCCTTTAAAAGGCCTTTAAATATCACTGTAATTCAGGTTCACTTTTAGCACATTCGGAACATTAAAAATGCATAAAACTCCTATCGCTATCAGAGAGGGTCCAATAATCATTTTCAGTCAACCTTTTCAGGTTAGGTATGACACTGGTAACAGATTTTTTGGATGGTGACAACTCATTTCTTTTGCACCCCTCCTCCCCACAATTAAATAAGGAATTGAGAGTGTCACGTGGAAACATGACTTATTGTTAGAACAGAGCCCCAGTGAGCCGATGCTTTGTCCTGAGCTGCCCTCAGGCTTTGGTCTGTCCCCTCTTTGGCCAGCGCCATTCTTCGGGAGCTTATGCTGTGTCACCAGGAAGCTGAGCACACACCACACTGCTCCATGCTGGGTCTGACTGTGCTCAGCAACTGAGTCACGAGCCAGACCAAATAACGACTTCTTTGAAAGGTTGACAACCAGATTCTTACCCACTTGACCACACAAGGCCTTCCCACATTATAAACCCTTGCTTTGGTATGCGTTCAGTCACGCACATGACCAGTCGCTCATCGCTTCAGTCAGCTTCCCATCCCCTCTGCTCCACACGGCAGCCAATGTGTCCTAACTCAGGTGGTCTGTCTAATCTGACACCTTTTCCATCTGACTTTGAACCCTGAGGGTTAAATGCCCTTCTTTACCTGCTCCCCTTTCAGGTGAGTCTTTGTTAATGCCACACACACTTTTATGTCATATTTCTTCTATATTTCAGGTCAATCAATCTCTCTCTCTCTCTCTCTCTCTCTCTCTCTCTCTCTCTCTCTCTCTCTCTGTTTTTCTCCTTTCTTCCCCCTATTTTCAATTTGGGAGAGCCCCCAGTGGTGCTAGTCATAGCTGATGAGCTCAAGAGTAGGGATATGATCATTATTAAGAGCTGAGGACACAGTATATGATATTTGGAGGTAAAATAACGTATAATAACCAGTGTCATCAACTTTCAAATCTCTTTAGTGTCTTTGTCTGGTTCATCCTCTTCTCATTAAACCTTACACGTTGCACACAGAATCATAAAAATTATTCATCGTTCATTGATTTTATTCCTTACATAATTACTAGTATTGCAACACAGTTATAATAGACATTTCATTTCAGGTATATGTTATTACAGATACATTATGAGTAAAATAAGGTTTTGTGGAATGACCTGGGTTCTCACTACCATTTATTGAGCCATTTTTAAGGGAGACATAGTTCCAGTCCAACGTCACCAACATGGGTACATTTTGGGAACAAAGCAGGTATTTGAGGGCCATTTAATGTCATTATGTCTCTTAATCATTCTTTGTTCCTGGAAAGAGGTTGACTATTCAGTGTTACTGGAGTGCTTCTATAATTATATTGAATAATAAATTAAAAATGGAAATCAGAGGCAAATTCAGAGTATTCTGAAAATAAGAAGACGGTTAAGCATGGATTTTGAAATCACAAGTCACTTTTTCCCTTCTGTGTATGTGAGTGTTTATGACAATCTCTTGGATGTAAAGTTTGCTACTTTTGAATACTCTATTTATGCTGAGGGACAGTTAGTTACAGAACGTTGGGACTTTTCCCTGACTCAGTTGGTGATCCTAGTGACCCAGGACAGCCCCTTCACACTGACCATTTGCTCACACATACACTTGAAATGTGATGGCTTTGCCTGCTGAGACCCATTATCTTTTTTAAGACTGGGAAAGAGAAAATGTTTCAAAAAAGAAAGGCTATTACGTTTTCTTGTTAGTAAAATTTTAAGCAGATTTTAAAAAGTGTCAGCTCTTCATGAAAGCATTTCAGTCTTTGTTCTCTGCGCTGACCAGGTATTATCCTTTTTTTGATAATGATTACCTAGCAACACTTTAAATTCCTTCCTCATTTTAAATCTCAGGGTAATATCTTTTTTTTTTTTTGGCTTGAGTTTAGTATATAGTCTCAAACTTATTGTACCATATGTGGCAAGCTAATGGCCGTTGATGAAAGCGAAATCATGGCAAGATCTCTTATATATCATGATGATGATAAATGCATTCATTTAAAATGCATTATCTTGACAAAATTTTGTTTCTATACAGTGACCTCGAACTTGCAAATATACTAAGGGTGTTGTTGCCAAGAGATACAGATAGAGATTATAATTTTCATGTTAAGAGTTCACACAAACCACATATGTAGTAGAATTCCTAAGCTTAATGTAGTAAATAGCATTCAAAATATGACATGACATGGCTTTTTAAAAATTTAACGCATGACCAGCTTTGAGACACAAAGGCATACGCAGACTAAAATGATAAAACACAAATTTTTTTAAATCATCAAGGTCTGAGACAAGATAAAATACAGCCTTGCGTTTTGGCCGGGTTGCCTCAGCAGCCATCCTGGGGGATGAGATGAGTCAGCAAACCCAAATAAGGGGGGACTTGGCATCCTTTAGTCCCCACATCAACTAAAGATGCTCTGCTTTCATCTAGCACATAAATGGGCTTTCATCTAAGATTTCATTGGGGGAACTCAAAAGGGTTCCAAAGCTAATACGTAGTTTGAGAGCGCTCCTCTGACAGATCCCTTTTTTACCTATTAGGCAAAATACGTGGAACGCCAAACACACTGCATCAGCTCATAGTAAAAAGTTAAAGGTACAAAGTCAGCTTCCTTCGCATCCTGTCTGTGTTGGGATGTCAGCGTAAACACAAAGCGGACCATTTGGAAGAACTTGTTCATAAATACGCCATTTTCTAAATTGGGCTCCCCATAGAAACTTCATGCATATTGGAGAGAAGAGGAAAACCCTTTTTATTAAAGTAAAACATAATTTTCATACTTGGTGATATTCAAATAACTTCTATTTATGATAGTGGGGGTGGGGGTCCCCTCACCCCCAGCACTTCGGACTGAAGTAAACTGGTTAAAATGGAGAACAGATGATGGAAAATGACTCAGAATTTTCTGGAAGGAACCAGGAATAAGAAACATGGAAAGATGATATCATTATAAATACATTTCTGACAGTGTGACTCAATTTTCTTTTAAAAAATTCTTTGTGTTTGTAGGATAATGGGGGGTGGAGGTGAGTACAGAAAGCCAGTGCAGTCTGTCTTAGAGAATTTATTGCTGGCGTGTCCCTGCTGTTAGATGTAGGCTCCTGAGTTTGTGTGTCCATACACTTTGTTATTTTTTGGTGAGACTTTTTTTGGCAAAGAAAGGTGTATATGCAATTCTTGATGTGGTATCTGGAACATAGTAAGCAATCAGTAAGCAGTAGTGGCCTCTCTCCTTCATTTTCCTGCTGTTTTTAGCAGCATTTTTTCTTTCCCCCCCAGTGGTAGCATCTTTTTTTTTTTTCTTTCTTTGGAGTAATTTATTGAGGTGAGAGTGATGTTGGAATGCTCAACTTGAAAGGTTGCTCTCCAGACTTATTTCTTCTTCATAACAAGCCTTCTTCTTCTTTTTTGAAAACAACCATAAATAAATGGAAATTTTTGACATACTGTATCTTTTAATGT